CTGATTAAGTAAAAATTAGTAAATTAAACAATTATACTACACGAATTGTATTTCTTTTAACATACTAATATACTAACAAAAATTAGACAATTTTAAAATTCAAAAAATAATTTAAAATTCTTTTATATATGTATCTTAAATTAACCAGAAAGAAATTAAAAAGAGTAACAAACTAAAAAATTCTTTAAAAATAAAAATTACAAAATTGTATTTTGCAAGAAAAAAAAAGACACATGCAATTGCAGTTAATTGTTTTAAAATAGTGGGATCAGTTTTAAAAATCAGTAATTATAATTAATTAAAATTATTTCAAATTCGTAATTGTTTATAAAGATAAATATTAAATATTAAATATTTGAATAATCTATTTTAAAACTAAAATTTTAAAAAACTTTAAATTCTTTATTTAAATAAAACGAGGATATAGATAGACGGTTTTAAAACTCCCCATTAAATTTCTACTCAAACACAAACTCTAAAAATAGATTATGAAAAAAAAAATTACAATAAAATAAACGAATTTTAAAAAATATAAAACTTCACACTAAAAAGATTTACCTAATTGTCTAATAATTAAATTAAAATGAATTGCCATTTAAAAACCGAAACAAAAATTTTAATTTTTTTTTATTGAATAATTACTTTAAATTAATATTATATAAACATTTTACAAATTTTAATATTTATATAAAGATAAAAATTAAAAATTAAATATTCGAATGATCTGTTTTAAAATTAAAAACTCAAAAAAATATTTTTTATTTAAATAAAAACGAAAATATAAATAGACAGTTTTAAAACTTCCCATTACATTCCTACTCAAACACAAACTCTAAAACATGATTAATCAAAAATTAATAAATTAAACAAATTATATTACACATTGTAAATTTTAATATTTATATAAAGATAAAACTAAAAATTAAATATTTGAATGATCTTTTTTAAAATAAAAAATTGAAAATAATATTTAATTTCTTTATTTAAATAAAAACGGGAATATAAATAGGCAGTTTTAAAACAGCCCATTGCATTCCCACTCAAACACAAACTCTAAAACCTGATTAAGTAAAAAATAGTAAATTAAACCAATTATATTACACATATTGTATTTCTTTTAATATAATAAAATACTAACAAAAATTCAAGAAATTTAAAATTCAAAAAATAATTAGTTATAATATTATTCTAATTGTTAATTATAGCTATGGACATAATATTTTAATAATATAATTACTAAATTGTGTATTAATAATATTAATTTAACATGCTCAAATAAATAAGTTAATAAATTGTGTCATCATTTTAAAAATAAACATTACTAAGTGCATGATAATTTTTAATAGTTATTTTTAATTTAAAATATTAAAGTATATTTTAAAATATCCGCGCAACGCGCAGGTACGTATACTAATTTATACTAATGCAAAAAGGAAATTAATCTAGAAACCAATTTAGACTTGCTGATGTGGCATGCCTCTAAGGGCTAGAAACCAATTTATCTTTTTTGTGATTTTTTTTTATGATCTTTTAGATTTTATAATTTGAAGGTAATAAAACACCACAACCATTATTATTATTCAATTAAATGGACAATGAATATGTATTAATGTTCAGTTACATTATCGTTCACCTCCTACGTTTTCCATTTACCCATAAATACACATTTAATGTTCTGCTACCGCCTACAAATATCAACTGAGATGTTGGGTCATCAGTACCAAATTTGCATTTTTCATGCCATGTTTTACATTCACCATTTAGTCAATTTTTTTTTTAAGAATATGATATTGTGTGCGGAATGTTCCTTAATCGATTATTGTATTAGTTATTGTTCCTTCACCAAATTTGCAGTTATTGTGTACACATTCATGTTTTACAATTCACCATTCATATCAAGTGTTCTATAGTATTTTGTTGTGTTTTATTCATTTTTGATTATTTTTTTTCGATATATTTTTTTCTTGAGTAGATGATCTATCGAAAACAATTTCTTTATCTCCAAAAGTAAGGTAAGGACATGGTATGTTTCCCATGCTATTTCATATCCTTACGTCAATCATTTTAATTGGATTCTCGATATATTTTTTCTTGAGCAGATGATCTATCGGAAATAATTTCTTTATATCCAAAAGTAAGGTAAGGAGTAAGGACACTGTATGTTGCCGTGGTATTTCATATCCTTATGTTAATCATTTTAATCTCCAATTAAACTGAATATTAGTACGTTTAAATGTATTTCCTCAAAATTTTCATTCATTTGTCACTATAATTTTTCAGTCTTGCAGTTTTCCTCTTATGCTTAATAGTCTTTATTTATAATTTTTTTTGGTTTTATTATATCTATGTATATGGTGGAGTATTAGATGTTAAAATAGATTATTTCATTAAGTTATTTTGTATTAATTGCGATTATATTGTGTAATATGCACATAAGTGATCTATTTTTTTTTTTGAAGTGTTGTCATACACTATTAATTCTTGACAGAGAAGCAAAAGGAAACATTCAAATCACGGACAATTTTTTATGTTTTAATTTTCTTTATTCTTATTTTTGAATATTATTTTTAGAGTATATTAATCAGGATTGAATTTTATTATATAGCTTGTAGTAACTTAAATTTGAATTTAAATTGTATTCAATATACTAATGTTGATGGGCAGATTGCTTACTATCATTCACTTCTAATCCTGACAAAGAAAGCGAACATGTGGATATTCAGAGGGATAAAAAGTTGTTTGATATAGTACTACTGTTAATTATTTAAAATTATTTGAATATAACATTGTACTACATAAAACAATTTAATTTTTGTTGTTCAAGAATCAAGATTTCATAATCTCTGATTATTTCAACAATTGGAATTAATTAATAATACTCGAAATTGAATATGATTTTATAATGCCTCAAGTGTCCGTTACCATTTCTTTTAAAATTAAAGCTGCATAAAAAAATTGGTGTAATTGACTAGGTGAACATATTAAAGAATATACTCTAACTTAGATCAACACTGCTATTAATATGATATATTCATGTCTTATTTATGGGCATGTAAAATTTCAAGCCTAAAAAGAATTTAAAAAAATTCAAGCCTAATAAACTAAAATAGAAAGACATGGAAAAACAAAATAACATTTTTATTTTGTAAAAGAGAAAATATAAAAGAAGCTAAGATTAAAGTAAATCACTCAACACCAAATGAGATTGATTAATTTGTCTCTTTGAATTGAGTGTTATAAGAGATTCATATTCTATTAACTTGTAATATTATGTAGAATAACCACTTATTTGTTATTTTGTTTGCATTTCTAAATTTTGATGGAAATTACTGAATCAAATCATTGGCATTAACTTTAGTGCACAACGGGATTTCAATGACTATAAAGTGATATGCTTTGCTGAATTCACGCAGATTAGTTACCTAGTTTAATATTGAATATTTGTTCTTTAGTTTTCCATTGGTTTAGACAATTAAAATATATAATCTAATTTTAATTTCCTTTAATATTTAGTCATGTTATGTAACTAAAATTTATTAAACTTTTTTAGCATGATTTAGTACTTTTAAATTATGATCATTTTCGTTATGACTTGTTAATTTGCAAGATTTGTTTTACGCGATTTCATTATTATTATTATTATTATTTTGAATATTTTAGTGTCATTAATCATTTCATTATTTGTGTTATTTTCTTAAGAAACACCTTAGATAGTTGTATTTTGGTAGGACTGAAGACAAGGGCGGATTTAAGTATATCGAAGGTGTGTCACGTGACACGGCTTCATTGAAATTATTTACGAAATATACCTATTTAAAAAAATATATAAAAAAAAACTAAAGTTAAAAGTGTTAAAAGGACACCCCTTATAAGAGAATGCTCCTAGCTCTCGTTGCATGCTAACCTCCACATCCTGAGGTCGATCCTCAATAGGGTGCATTTGTTTTTTGTTTTTTTCACGTTTCATTTTTTTCTTTTCTAAAATTTATTAATTTTTTTTAAAAAAAAATTATTAGCGTTTTTTTTGTTTTTTTCACGTTTCATTTTTTTCTTTTCTCAAATTTATTAATTTTTTGTTTTAAATTCAAAACAGTTCATTAAAAACCTACTGACCCACTCTAATTCATTCAAAATCTAATTACTCTTTTTTATTTTTAAAATTAAAATAAAACTCAAAACATTTGAGTCCTTCATCAATTAGAATTATAGTTAAATAAAAATAGTGTTGACTCCTATCCTTGTATAGTTGTGAGTTTCATCAATTTTCTTTTGATTCTTATTCATCAATCAACGTTATTCGACATCTCGAATCTCCACATCATGTTAGTATTTTCTTGCTTTTTTTATTTATTATTATATGCTTGAATTTTTATTTTTATTTTTATTTGTTCATAATAATAATTTTATTAATCATCTATTTGCAATGCAATCGGTTGAATAATATTTGTATAAAACTTTATTTAATAATATGAAGATGTTAATGTTTTAATTTTAAATTTTAAAATAGTATCTAATTTAAAGAGAAGACAATTTTTTTAATTTTTTAATTTAATCAAAATTTTAATATTTTTCCATAAAAGTTCACTATTAATGAGGCCTCAAATTTTTGGAGACCTAAAACAAAACCTTAATTAATTTTCTTCTTGAGCTATTCTTGTGTATATATTTTTATTATAATTAAAATTTTACTTTCTATTTAGTATTCTATTCGACCCATTTAGTAAAATAAAGACCCATTAACCCGATTTCATTACTATTAGCCCTAATTTCTATTCTCTTTCATTCTTGCGACGCTTCATTAACTATATAAGAAGAGGGAATAGCACACGCCTCTCCGTCAACGCGTGTGCTTTTCCGTAAAAACATTGAAGTTGAAGGCTATTTCTGTCCTTTCCCTTTTCTGCATCAATTCTAACGCCTCCCCCCTTGGTAACCATCGGCCATCTCCATCTGCTCTCTCCTCTTCTTCTCTTCTCCTTCATAGTTGTGTCCAGGTTAGCATAATTTACACTTGAATTCATTTTGATGCTGCAATATTTGATGCTTCCTTTGTATTGGGTTTAGGTTTCTTCGATTTTGGCTTGGTGGTTGCAATATTTGGTGGGTTTGGATTTCTTCGATTTTGGCTTTCTTTACCGTCTTCTTTAACTCCTCTTTGTCTTTAACTTTGGACTTTGCTGGATTTTGGAGCTTAGTTGTTTGTATTTCTGAGTTTTATCTTGCTTGCCTATAGTTTCAATTGAAAACAAAAATGCATAGCATGAAATTAACAGTGAAACACAGAAACACGATGACAAAAATAAAACCCATCGGAAAATTAATTAGTGAAGCAAACAATAAAAACCAAAGTTGGGAAATGAAAGACCCAAATAATTGTGACTGCTTCAGTGCTATCCTCCGATTCCCTGAACATGTTTTTGAGTTTGAATCGGCCAAACCTAAAACCGAGCTGAAACCTCATTTTTCTCCTTCCCTTCCCTTGTTCTTTGAGTCGACACCTATACAGAGAAACATAGGCATCATCAGAGATGGGCAAATATTGTTGGAATTTAGAACCTATCATAGTAAATTATATTTTTGAATTTTAGCTTTTTCTTGCTAGGTCCTGAAAAGGGTGTTGTTTCATATGTGTCTTGTTTATAGTGAGAAGGATGGAAGAGTGGTTCATTTTTTGGGAATTCAAGTACCTATTTTGAGGAGGAGAAATTCATTAGGTGGTCGAATTGGGAGAAATGGAGGAGTATGTCATGATAGAGGTAATTGCAGGGAGTATGTCTATAAGTGTTGTACGAGGGAGGTTTCCTCGAATTCGATTATGGAAGCGGATAGAGCATTATCGGTTGATTCAGTTTCAGGGTTGAACCATACATGTATTTTTATTCATTATGTTTCTTCAAAGTTCTCTCAATTTTTGTTGGTTATAGTAGTGGACTTATCGTTTGATTTTCATAGTAAGTATGCTCATTAAGATGTTTGGGATTTCCTCTCTATCACAGTTAGAACATGATTTTTGAAATTTGTTGCACTAATCTCCAATCATTTCAGTATTATATCTTCAACTTATGGTCGTAATTTCTTTTTAATGGTTTCCTTTGCTCCTTGGAGCAACGCTAAAGTTGTCTCCGTGTGATCCATAGGTCACAAGTTTGAGCCGTAGAAGCAACCACTAATGCTTGAATTAGTTTAGGCTGTCTACATCACACCTCTTGGGTTGCTGCCCTTCCCCGAACCTTACACAGGGCTGCCCTTTTTTCCTCTTAAGCTTAAATTTGCGTTTTGAGTCATTTTCGTCAGTTGGTTGAGTTAGGACTTGATTATACTTTGGGGTGCATACACCTTTCCCATCACTTTGTGTTGGAGTTTCAAACATTTTGTTCCTTCTTTAGACAGTCACATGCAACCCACATAGATCTTAGTGATTTTTTTACTTGGAGGGTATGATGTTGGCAAAGACTGATTGATCTATCAATACTTAATTTACTTAGTTGCACGGACTCATTTTTGATGCCGCACCAGTGTCGTATTCTCCAATTTACAAATTTGGGTAATAAACTCGGACATGGTATAATAACTCTCTTGTGGGACTGTGTAAATAGCTGTGGGGAAGTGTCTAGAAACCAATCAATTACTTGTTTGGTATTTAATGCACTAAAGCAAGACACTAAGAATGAATATAGTAAATATGATATCAATTTGTTTGTTATTTAGCTCTGTTGACCTTTTCTCTTTTGAAGAAGTAGCACTCTTTAGTAGTAATTTATTCAAATATAATGCATTTTTGACTCAATATTCTGTGAAGTAAACAAACTTTTATCATGGGTTCATGTTTTAAGCTAGCTTCAAAGTTTTACGCAATTTGATAGAGTTCATTCATAAGCTTGAGTTGAGGTGCTAATGTTACCCTCACCTACCCTCAAAAACCCAAACCCCTCTTCATCCTCCGCATTAGAGACCTCTGCCCTAGTCCCATACTCTCGCTGGGAAATCCTTACCGGAAAAACACCTCAAATCAACCTGCGGCAACCAACTTACATTCAAAGCTTCTCCTTCATCCCTCGTCAATGTATACTGTAAGGCTCTACCCTCACCTACCCTCGCCGGGAAATCCTTACCGGAAAAACACCTCAAATCAACCTGCGGCAACCAACTTACATTCAAAGCTTCTCCTTCGTCCCTCGTCACTGTATACTGTAAGGCTCTACCCTCATCTCTTTCTAATGATTAATATCGATTCTATTTATTCAAGCAGTTTGGTACTTCATGATTTTTTTGTTCTTGTAAATTGGTAAAAAACTTGTAAATTGTGCTTAATGATGAGTATCACAAGTAATTTATTTTTTATGTGTAGAATTGTATTAAACAAATGTTGAAGTTTGTATAATTGTTCACAATCCGTTTGACCGTTTCAATTTGTTTGTCAGGTTTTGATTTGATACATAGTTTAAGAAAGTAGAATTATGAGTCTATTTATCATTGTATTAGGGACATGGGTGGAAATGTTGAATTTTAAGTCATTTACCAAATAATTCTGATTACATAAATTCCAGGTTTAATTTTTAGTCATCTTAATATTTATTTGATCTCAAATGCCTCTTAAATCCAAGTTAATCTACCCTAATGGACGTTTGAGCTAAGATGAGTGTATTAGACAAGTTGATAGTTAATATCTCACATATTCTGTAGAAGTGAATTTTTGTCTAGGGAGAATATTAATTGTTAGAAAGTGTATAGTGTCCTAAAAGTGTTACGCAATGCTGAGTTTTCTAATGAGATTGATGCTATTTTTTATATTCTGGAATCCTTATAGATATAAAGGATTCCTTTACTTTGTAATGTTTCAGTACTAGTTTAGTACTGAATGGCTTTCATTACTAAAATTTACATTTTACTTGTATCATTAACTAAAAAAGGAAGTGTATAGTGTCCTTCTAAAGTCTTATTTTATCCTCCCCTCTGTTCTAATCTCTTCCAGAGTTGAAGTCCATCAGTGTTACGCAAAATGGAGGTTAAAACAACAAAATATTCTGAATCGATCAACTCAAATCGGAGGGGTAACAGTAGCCAGAAGAGGGAAAGGGGCTTGCAGATAGAAGGATACTCGCTAGAAGGGATATCAATAGCAGGTCATGAGACGTGCATAATAGTTCCCTCGCTTAACTTAGCCTTTGATATTGGCAAGTGTCCTCAGCGTGCCATCTCTCAGCAGTTCCTTTTCATCTCTCATGGCCACATGGACCACATAGGAGGACTACCTATGTATGCTGCGACTCGTTCCCTTTACAGAATGAGACCTCCTACTATTATTGTACCAAAAGTAATCAAAGAAAGTATAGAGAAGCTTTTTGAAGCTCACCGAGCTATGGATCACTCAGAACTGAACCATACTTTGATTGGGTTGGATGTGGGTAAAAATCTTCTTGTATTGATTATATAGCTCTCCTAATTAGTTATTACAAAGTTGGAGTTAGCTCTAATTTCACAATTTAAGTGAATATGTGTTTGTGCATACACAGGAGAAGAATTCTACTTGAGGAAGGATCTTAAAGTTAGAGCATTTAAGACTTATCATGTCATTCCTAGCCAGGTTGAGTGCTTTCCTTAATGCTCTGAGTTTCAATTGCTTATTTTCCCTGCCCATGCTTCTTTTTTGCCGGTATTAAGTGGATTCGATCCAAAAAATGTGCTTTGTACTTTCTACGAGAGGAAGCAACTGCTACAGTCGGATGTTATGACCTTTGCATTTTGATCACTTCTTATATTACTGGTGTCTATTTGAGGTTTTAATCACCTGGTTTTTATGGTGCAGGGTTATATAGTATATTCAATCAAGCAGAAACTTAAGCAAGAATATGTTGGCCTTCCAGGAGATGAGATTAAGAAGTTAAAGTTATCAGGTGTGGAGGTCTGTCATGATATCATAGTTGGTTAGGAATTTATCTGATTGCATTTGTTTCTTAATGTTGGTTTAAATTCCAACCCAAGGGGTGCTTTTACATTGATCAATTTCTTTTTGACACAGGTGCACCCTGCACCTGTGCTGCCTTTATATAATTTTGCACAAGAATGCATCTGCAACAAACTTCCTGCATAGCTTATGTATCACAATATCAGTATGACAAAGATTCTTTGGTTTTGACAGATCACGAACACTTCAACAGCACCTGAAATTGCATTTACAGGTGATACCATGTCAGACTTCATTAAGGATCCCAAAAATATTGATGTTTTGAGGGCAAAAATCCTCATAATGGAGGTAAATTCCCTGATTTCAACACCTGCCAAAAATGTACCTCGTCTGAAACATGACGCTCAATTTCCACGACTCGTTGTAGCCATTTTTTCCTCCCTTGAAAGAATATTTTCAGAATGAGGTTTATGTGGCTCTTCTACTTCTGGTCTATCTAATATATACTATCTGGACATCCAATGACTCCAGTATCTTTCTTAAATTTTAGCAAACACTCCAAGGAGCATGACATAAGGCCTTGAGGACCACTGTTTGATTTTTAACATTCTTACTGCCTATCGTGTCATCTTCAACTTATGACACTTTCCTGAGTTAATTTTTAGGAGGTCTCCTATGCATTTCTGTATAATCCAACTATATCAACAACATGAATTCATCAACTTATGGAGTTAACAAAGTTGCCGTCTAGTATGATCACTTATCCTTGTGACGATGACACAATTGGATTAACTAATTAGCCTATTACTCTCTTAGTAATAACTTACGCTCGGAGAGCATCGTTACTTGTGTTTACTTTTATGTAAATAACATCATAGCTGGTACAGTAGAATTGGCAGTGGGGAGATCTTTAGTTCAATTTGCCTTTTCAACATTACTGGTTCCAGAGATTTAAGTTCTTCCTTGTGATTCTTCTCCAGAGCACTTATGTGGAGGACAAAACGACAGCAGATAATGCAAGAGAATATGGACATACTCATCTGTCTGAGGTGATTCTTTTTGCATTAATTCCTGATAATCTCTTTTGATTAACCTCAAGATTTTACTGGAAGATAGAAAAATAAAATCCTGAATGTGCTATAGAATTATTAGAAGTCTGATATACTTTTCTTTATGCGTTGATGACATCCTACCAGATTATCAATTTCGCAGACATGTTTCAGAACAAAGCCATCCTTTTAATCCACTTTTCGGCCCGCTATCAGTTGAATGTAAGTTTGATTCTCTCTCTCTCTTGATGCACACACCAAGCTGTCACCAAATCTAACCAAGTGTCGTAGATTCAGAACTTCTAGAAACTACTCTGGTTGAGCTTCCCTAAGAAGTCCAGCAATATTTTCTCATTCACGGGATGACCTAGTCTCAAATATTTACTCTCTGTACTATTTTGGTTTGTGGAAAGTTGGTAAATAGGATAGAAATGGAATTCAACCGTGTTTAATTTCTTATGTCTGTCTTCACTGTGTTGTTCGTAACTATCTACTTGTGGTCTATTTTCATTCTCCCAAAAACCAGTTAATAACATGCAATTTACTAATTTTTACAACATTAGTGCTTCTGTACATCATTTTGGAACCCTATCATCATTTGTGTGTTAGGAAAGTGTGGCTTCCTACCATTTCATGTTCTTAAGGATTACCAATTAATCGATCTTCCCCCCCAGTAGAGTAAGTATCTAATTCTAGGACCATCTTGTTTCATTGCTTTTATACCATTCTAACAAAAAAAATTCACTTATCAGGTTATTGAGGAGGCTATTTCTGCAATACCTCCGCCTTTGGCAGGCAGAGTTTTTGCGCTTACAGAAGGCTTTTGATGCAACGCCAAATCTACTTATCTGGTGGACATTTCCTTTTCCTTTCCCCTCCCCTATGATTTGGCTGATTTCATAAAGAGCAGTAATGATGAAGAAAATTTTTGCTATGGAAGTTAGCTTGTAATAGTTTAAAACTAAGCCAGAGCCAGTTCAATCTGATTTATTATGGTCCTCTGGGGATATCTGGATTTTTTATTTATTATTATTGCAATATTATAGTGACTTTAAATGGAATTGGGGCATTGGGCTATTATTGGGAGTGAAAATGTCTAAGACCTTAGTACTTGGAAGTCTCATAAAAATTAGTAAATGCTTTGTAAGATCTGGCAAATTGCCAAGAAAGATAAGTGATAGTAGTTGGCAGATTTTTATTTAATAATATGCAGACAAGAGGGCAAATGTAAACGCATTCACATTTGTGTGTACGTACGTACGTATTAATCCGTCTATGACATTTGAAAAAAGCATGACACACAAGGGAGATTGGAAAAATAAACTGAATTAACAAATAATATGGCTATAGACTATGGTTTATGGCCATAAGGTCTGATAATAATTCAAAGAAATACACAAGTGGATACAGCACAATTGAAGTTTGAGCATCAAAAACTCATTTTTCACTTGGAGTAATGATTGTACAAGAATAAGCGTTACAATTAAAGGGTTGGCTTCAGACGAATTTCTAGAACAATACGTATATCATTTTTTTGTCACAATGGTGTGCGAAAGCCGTTAAAACTAGTCATGAAACTTGTCTTAGAATAATTGGAGAGACCATTCCAAATTGATAAAAATCCACCGTCTCCTCCCTCTTGTAGCACATAGTTTTAGTAACCTTTGACTTCCACAATTAGTTGAGTAATAACGTAAAAATAAATCTGTCTCCCCCAATATATTTTTCTTTTAAAAAAGTATTATAATTTATTTTTTATGGTAAAAAAAAACTTAATATTAAAATTGTTTTCTGATCCGTCTATAGATAATTTTAGTGTCATATAAATTAAGAGCGAGAAAGTCATTATAAAATCATCCTAGTTTTACAGCTATCAAACAACATCCCCACCACCTGGCTGCTACGTACCTATCTTCACCAGTCCCCAAATATATATAGATCGATGCCCATCAAGATTAATTTACAGTAAATTAGAAGACTAGTTCTCAAATTTAATTTTGTTGAGTTCTCTCTGTTTGCTAATTAATTTTCCTGCATGAATATTGGGAGGATTTTGCCAAGTAAAAAAGGTGTATCAGGACATAATTCTTCTATGTTCCTCCTCCTCGTGACATCCAACGATTAACCTCCTTATTAGGTACGTATCTATCTCTAATTTTAATAGCTCGTGTCGTAGTCAAAAAATTTCACTTCAAGAGAATTTAAAATAATCATATAAAAAAAGTTTTAAAATTTCAACATTTAGTACCTATGTTTGATTTTACTTATTTGAGATCGTAGTCAGGATTTTCACTTCAAAAAATCAAAATAAACATACATAAAAAGTTTAAAAATTTCAACCTCTTAATATAGTAATTATTTATCTTAATTTGTATTTCAACTTCAAACTCTATGAATATTAACATGACTAGGGGCAGAGTTAGGTGGAGTTCATGGGTTCGAACGAACCCAATAGCTTTTCTGTAGACTCTATATTTTTACTAAAAAATTAAGTAATAAACTGTGTACCCCTAACAAAATTGATTGACAATTCAATGTTAAGGAGGAGGAAGGAAATTTAGTACCCTCAAACTCGTAATACGGGCTGCTTGACAAAAAAAAAGTATGGATATGTTAAATATACATTTCCATAAGTTTTGAATCTATTATTCTTTTTCTTAAGTTTAAGTTTTGAATCTATTATTCTTTTTCTTTTTCTTGTCTTGTTCTTTTCATTTATTTTAACTGGATATTGATGTGACATTTTACCAAGTGATGATTTATTACAAGTGTTTGGAATTTAGGAGCCATTAATTTCCTCTATTTGTTGGCTACGTACGTACTCTCTTTCAAAAATTTTAAATCTCACTACGTGGCTTAATTAATTTATTAATTAATGAGCTAATGAAGCTTGTTACATACACCTAAATAAACTTTATCCTCACGCCATATTGTGTCGGTTTGTATATTTTTCTATTATATAGAAGAGTGAAGCCAAAGGACGACCAATGGCAAAATGGTAATTAATGTATGAGATAGTGGCAAATTATAAGTTAGTGGATATAATCAATTTCTTGTTTTGACTTTTATTCCCACACATTCAGCATAGTTCTAGAAGCTCTCATTTCACCTCCTTTAGATAGTTTCCAGAATAGTCCTCAGTTGGCAAGCCTATTTCCAATTTCTTAGACTTCCCCATATTTATGGATAAACTCATAGTTAAACCATTACTCCCTCCGTCCCATTTTATATGATGTACTTTGATTTGGCACAAACTTTAAGAAAAAATGGAAAGACTTTTTAAAAACTTGTGGTCCAAAAATGAATGATAGAAATTTGTGTGGTTGTAAATCATTTCATTAAGGGTAAAAAAGACATTTTATAGGCAAATTGTTACTTAAAATAGAAATATGTCATTCTTTTTGGGACTGACTAAAAAGGAAAGTAAGTCATATAAATTGGGACAGAGGGAGTATTATTTTTCTTCGATTTACAACTTCAACTCTTCCGGTACTCTTCATCTTCTCAAGCTGGTATTGCAATTTTAGATTTGTTTTCTTATCAATTACTTCTAGTTTTTTTCTATGTATATATATTTTTTGAATTTGGTGTTACTTTGAGTTTAGTTTTCTATATATTAGTGTATTGAACTGAGAAGTTTGATGAGTAAATATTTGTTTACTCCTCCTTATATCATTTATTTACTGATTTAACAAGTTAAAATTTTCAAGTAAATTGGTGCATGGGTGAATTTTTATGCCTCCACTCTCTTACCAGTATCTAAATCAATTACGAAAAACTTTTCTAAAAATGCCCAATGTCTCTTTTATATCGTCACTACAAAAAATATGTGTTTACCAAAAAGGGTGTTGATCCATTTTACATCACATATATACATACTTATAACCTTTCTTTTTTGTTTTACTTCTTTACTCCCATTTGCAGACTGTGGCGTATCGTAGTCATGAAATATGATGATCAATCTGCTTATTGCATTATTAGAGGTAATACTTACATGTCGTGTTATTGTTTTCTCTTGGGATATCTCCATGTTTTTTTGTGGTTTTAATTTTTGTCTTGAATTTGATTTTCTTGTTGTGGTTGCTATGAATATTTGTTGCACTATAATTTTTTCTATAATTATGTAAATATAAGGCATTCTCAACAAAAAAAATATGTAAATAAGGACCGTTCCATTAATGTTTTCTAAATAGCACAAAGATACCAAATAACTAAACTATTGATGCTACACCTATAACATTATCTAAATGTTATGATTACTTTTTAGGTCAATTTATTGCATTCACGACGACTTCTGTCATCGTGTTTCATAGGATATGATTAAAGGATGCTTTGTTAGATGGTTAGATATCATGTCATTTGATTGGCTTACAATGAATAAGATTATTTTATTTCCTTCTTTTATTGTGCTACAAGATTTTTCATAAGCGAATTAAACTTAGCATATTGATTTTGTACAAGTATCTTTGATAGTAAATCATATGTTAAAAGTAGGATACACGTAGCTTATCGAGGTTATAATTGCTAATGAAACTTTTTCAGCATCATTGCTAATGAAACTCTTCAAGGATGTAGTGTAATGCCGGACCAAACAACCTATCTTTAAAGCTTTTATGTATTTTAGAGAAAATACTCTAGCAATATTGTCATAGTTTCTAGCATTGTTATTGCACAACAACAAAATCTATAAAAAGTTACTTAGAGAATAGGGTCCATGCTCAAAAATTGAAGAAAAATTTATGAAAAAAGTGATTGTCAATAATTTGTAGTTCATCAAAGCTCTTCTATAGCTATCAGCAAATATGAGAAGCTGGGATGGTTGAGCAAGAAGTTGCCTCTTATAATTTTACCATTTAAAGAATATCCTTCTTTTTGGATTGCCTAAATACTCAGTCTGTTGTACTCATGCTCAAGCCCAGATTGGAATGATCAAGAAACTAAGACACTCACTCAGAGCTTGCTCTAACTTTTATTCCAACACAAATGATTAACATATCTTCTAAAAGCATTGGATGTTTATCTCTATTCTTCCATCAACAAAGACACACCATATTTTCATAAATTCAGAAATATTCTCTTATTTAGAATTTCGAAAGACTTCTCTTTGTATTTTTCTCTTATCTTCACATCTACGTATTGCAAATTCAGGTTATGTTTTTCTCAAATTTTCCTTAATGTTCTTTTGGTACTCTTATTTTTTTTTAGTTCAATGGGTTAAATTCACGCCTACTGTCATTATTCTTCTTCCAAAATCTCTCTTCAATGTTAAATTAGGCAAAGATCAAAGTTGCAGCTATGTTGAAGATCTTGCACTTTCTGAAATCTTCATTATAGTAATACTTTTTGTTGAATAAGTGATATTTATAATTCATGTTACAATACAATGAAGAATGAAAAATAAACATTAGTTACTACAGTACCTCTCTTTTTACGGAGTAATATAAATGTGGGGCTCATAGAATTGGTATAATATATTGGGATAGAGGAGCCATAGGTTCATCTAATAAAAATTTTCTTGTAATTGAGATCAAACTTTTTAATTATGTGTTCGAAGAGAGGGGTCAACAATGAATATTTATGAAGAATGTGGTGCGAG